TATTTTGGGTGAAGGATTTTTGGGTGCCGATGATACTGCACTAAAGGTTGATGTATTGATACACAGTTTAGCATATATAACATGGATCACTCCAGCTTTCAGGAGAGATTTCAGAAATCTTCAAATGGCTAAAGGGCCTTCAAACTGTTTGCTTGCTGTTTATAATTTTTTAAGGAATATATAGATTTGGTACAATTCCTGTATAGTGCGGTTAATTTGGTGTTATTTAACAACAGGCAGCGTGTGGCTTCAATTGACCTAACATCCATCCTTGTTTTTGTGCCCACAAACATGAATGGTACCTGGACTTAGTTCAGGATTTCAGACGTCTTTCAACAAAAATGTGTTCTGTATGACAATAAGTTTATTAATATAATAGGATTCTGTGTATGGAAGAGCTCAATCTGTTTTATTGATTTTTCTTTCATGTTTTACGAACCAGGCAAAAATCTTTCTTATGGTATACCTTAAATAAATCAACATTAGGATATACATGATGTCCTTTCCCCCCACCCAGTAGCTTTTCATTGTATTCTCTTTTGGTCCAATAAGTTCTCCAAACTCGAAACGGCGCCCTCTTCGGCTTTTTTCTGTTTTAGATTTTGACCAATGAGACATAAGGATCTGAGTTTTTTGACCATTGTGGATTTCTCATAATCACTTCCGCGACGACTAGGCCAGCATGGATTACTCATTGATAACTTTGAAGCGTGTTTTAGCTTGGCTCTCTCCTTAATCCATTGGTCCTTCACACCTCTCTTTGTGCTCCTGAGAGCGATAGTGATCCCTGCATTGTTGGGCCTTCTTTTGACCGTCATTGGCATCATTAGTATAGATGATGTTGTGTCTAAAACAGAAAAGAAGCCCACTGGAGCATGCTGTAGTAAAGTCACGGAGCGTTCTATTAAGTACACAAGGCCTGTAGTCCGCACGATTGTTGTTGTTGTTGTAGATGGCGGCTACTGGCGGCTGAGGTCAAAGGTTAGAGAAGCGTGTGGCTAAATACGTCGTAGTTTTCTGAAAAAATCCGCATTCGCCGTCCCAGACGACTTCGCCCTCCGGCGTTTTTAGGATTTTTCCCACTCTGGGACCCGTTTCTCCCTAAAAAAAAAAAAAACCAGTTTTTACACCCCTCGAAAAAGCCGGAATCCATCTGGACGTGAGGTCGAAACGATAAAGTCTTTACTGCGGATTCGACAAAAAAACAATATCTTCGTGTGGTGGGCACCCGTTTTCTGTCCCTAATGTTTTACATATACCACATAGTACTAGATATACTTTATTCTAGATAGACATATTACTATGCGCAATCTGCTCTGACGAAACATTTCCTTTTTTCTGTCTTTTGCTTTTTGTTCTTCTTTCCCTTTCTCACTTTAGTTTTTATATTTGTAATTGCTTTGTGCTAAAGCTGTCAAGTGTTTGAGGAAATCCACTTTCTTTAACCACATAGTCAATGGTTGGTCATACTTCATTGTTTATGGTTGGATTTATAAACTGAATGTTTAGTAGTCGACCAGGAGTATAACAATGGAGACCCTTTTTATTTTTTGAGCTTCTTGCTATTGGTTGTATACCTAAATTTCCCCATATTATCTCTAAAACTAAATTCCCCAAACAGTGACAAAGGAATCATGCCTTTATTGGTTTCTCAAATGTATGTCTGTATTTTGTCTTACATTCACTCACATTATTAAGAATTTGCCCCATCTCCCGAATTCTCACATGGACCTCGAAGCTGACTGTTACAGAAAGAACTTTTACAGAATCCAAAATTAATGTCCCTTTAATTTTTCCTTATGGGAACCTTTAGAATGGTCAAAGAGAATACAACTCTTTTTCCATTTTTCCTTTTAATTTTCATGCAGACACACTTCACTCCTGTCCTTTTCCTTTTTTCCCTTCCCACACCATGCATGTATACTTCATGCATCAGACGAGTCCCGGACTCAGTCTCCTGGCTGTAGCCTTACACTAACAGTGCATGTAACTTCAATGCATCAAGATTGCACCGAGTCCCCCGGACTCAAGCTCCCCCTGGCCATTCATACCCCTCGCATGCATTACTAGACCAGATTTCCGGACTCAAGTCTCAATGGCTTATAAGCTCTTTAACCTGAAGCTCCGGCCGATTCTGCAGCGGTCTTTCCCTTCCTGCCTGACACGTTCTGACACATACACACCGCAGGGCGGCGAGAATCGATATACCCCTGGGCCCCCCCTGAATGTACTACCAGAAAGACAGAGTCGTCTAGACCCCACCTTGGTTCTTTGGAATTACAGCAGTGAGTCGAGCTTGCGGTTCTCAGGCCCATCCAGGTCCCTCCAACTTCTTCTACCCATAGTTTTGGCGAGGGCAGCTTGAGGTCAGAGTCCTAGACTCTAAGCCGTAGCACGGTCTTTACTTCAGCTGAGTGTCTGAAGTCCTGTCACACGAGTGATCCTGCCGAACAACGCAAAAATTTTGCTGGCAATTTGTTTAATTAAACAGCACTACAAAGATATGATACTTTGCCTTTCTGTAAGGTTTATTCAAGTCCATCCATGAATGGGTCTCAT